TGGCTGTATGTGTATGATAGGTTCGGCTTTTTCGGGGTGGCCCCTAATTGGTTGACTCCGTATGCCGAAAAATAACTGGATCTGGAAAAGTTGCCAGACTTGAGATACCCAACTACTGCGGCTATAGGATGGATTATGTCGGTAAATAATTAGCTTGGGTTGATTGACAAAATGTTGGCCTGGTTTTTCATAGCGCAGGAGTTTTTCAAGTAGCAACAATGATGGCAATTTACTGAAAATAGATGTGACTGAGGGATGTGCTGAAACTGTGGCTTTCTTGATGTACCAATATGCATGCTCATTTAGCATAAGACTCTGAACCAAAGTTCATGTCAGTCCATCAAAAGTTGTCCAGACATTGACTCGAAGCCACCAATGTCAACCTCGTGGTTACCCTAAAAACAAATCCATTGGAATCACCAAAGCCATAAGGACATGCTGTTAGGATGACTGAAAGCAGTGTAAGAATGTATGTCAGAACTACATGATTTTTTTTTTGTTTAGATATTATTCCTAGAATCAGCACCACACTCCATATTATTACCACTACCATAAAGTTTCAGGGTGTCTGCTTGAAAATAGGTAACACAATTTCATAATCATTTGTCTAAACCAATGTTATCTGGCAATAATAGTACCAGAGCTTGTGTCTTAAACCCACTGCCATTCCTCTAACTCCAGCTCCCTCTGTCCCTTGTCAATTTCCTCTGTCTCCAGCAGGCTGTGTGTGAATGACTGACTGTGAGAGAAACTGTAATTTCCAGGGAGAAGCTGAGAACTGGCTCAGTAACGGCACAGCCTCGGGCCTTACACACAGCTCCTTTAGCCAATCCTCAGAGGAGCTGCCTGTAACCAGAACAATACCTGACAGCCAAAAACGAAAAAGAGAGGCCATGTAATGGTGGGTGGAGCCAACAAGCAAGTGCCCAGTCACAAGATATTCACATGCACCCTCCACCCTTGAGCTCTTGTTGCAGTGTACTCTAGGAAATAAAACTAAAATAAGACTGTACTGCTGGGATGTGTTATATAGGTCATTAAAACAGCCTGTCATCCTCTGTGCATTGATCCAGAGAAGGCACATCATTAAGAGGCCATCGTCTCCACTTAAAATGTCAAAAATTACACCAAACCCAGCTTGCATTATGGCTTTTTATGATTTTTTTTCTCCCTGCCATCCTTCTCACACGTTCACAATTCAGTGGAGCTGAAGGCGAAATAACTTTAAGTTTCAAGAATTTACATATAGACTTAAGGATTTGATAACTTGTGTTTCCTACAACTATATAGGCCAAATGACTTATCTGTTATCTTTGATGTCAGATTAAAATACAGGTATTTTAATGATAATGATTGGATAATTTCCCCTGAACTGAAACACTAAAACAGGGTTGTAACCTCGTTAGCGCGACCAGTTTCAATTAAGGCTCATAAATCCTAGATTTTTTCCCCTGTTGCAGTTGCATTCTCAGTGAATCCCTTAAACCAGTGATTTCTAACCATTTTGTTTTCCCTAAAAAAGACTGCAATGCCAATTTGCGACCGCTCATCACAGGTTGTTCATGTTGGGAGCAGTTCAAGCAGAGCGCATTTTTGAGGGCTATGAAGAGGCAAAACTAGGTAGTATAACATGATAAAAGCAAATATATGAAGAAAAATTCTGTATTGCTCGGTTAGGTTTTTTCCTCTTTTGTCGTTGGTATTCTCTATATCACTGCAAACTTGTCTTTTACTTGATTTCATGAGTTTAATACAAAAGATCCCCACGTATCAAACAAATGAGGTCCATAAAAACAACATGACATTTCTGTACAAAGAATATGTGCCGCCTCAAAGAGGGCAGAGGACAGACACAGCTTTGAGCTTTGCCTCTCATTACCCTGCAGAATAAGCAGACTTAGACAAAACATCTTGAGCAAAACACTAACCCAAGAATCCGCCCACCCTGACTCTCCAATAAGTTGAGTGCCCCCCTGCTGGGTGGCGCGATGGAATGACACCATCTGCAGAGGGCTCGAGACGCCCCCACACTTGGACCTCTGCGGGGGGCTTTGTGCTTACAAATGGATGCTATGGTAACTAGATGTGACTCTTCTGCAAGTTTTTTGAGCACCCGTATCTGCAGATGAGAAGGAACTGGAGCAGATAAGTGTGTGTGTGAGAGAGAGAGATATATGCTGGTCTGCACACAGCAGACATGGAAAACAAACACTGCATTACAGTTTCTAGTTTACAGATTCTTAGGGATTCCCCATCGTCCCACCCGCCCTGCCTTTTTTTCCCCCCTCTTCTTCAGGATTCCATGCACAAGCGACTGCTCACATCGCTGTTTGCTCAACAGTTCACACCAATTCCACACTTTATGCAAAGCTTGCAAGGAGACAAGTGTCCGTGAGCGGAGAGAGAGATAGAGAGACGGTGACAAGAAGGAGGCAGAGGTTTAGGCAATGGGAGACAGTGGGATGAGTCAATACTGTACAAACACCATCTGGAAGCCAGAAAGCGTCATCATGTTGTTCCCCTGAACCTGAGATCTACCACAGGACCTTGTAATCAACACGATGACCCTGGAAGCCGACGTCCAACTGAGAGAGGAAACTGTAGCGATGGCGGTTAGCAC